CCCGGGGGGGGCCCCCCCGGGGGGCCCCCGCGCCTGGGGGCCCCCCTGGAAACAGAAGACCTTGGGGAGGCCCTTTCTTTAGAAGCTCTGCAGTTTGAGTGGGGGAGATTATTTCAAGTATCTGTTAGGGGGGCCCCCCTTTGCTGCTTCTGCAGCATGGGGGCCCCTGCTGCAGCAGCAGCAGCAGCAGAGGCGCGCGCAGGCGCAGCAGCAGCAGCAGCAGCAGCAGCAGCAGGGGTGGTGCTGTTCGTGGGCAAAGCCATCCGCGTGCTGCGCAGGGGCGGCAAATGGGGGCAGCAGCAGCAGCAGCAAGTGGAGTGTCTAGCTAGCCAGATGGTGGGTTTAGAAAAATATTTTTTTTGTTTTTAATTAATTAATTTCTCACTTGTTTGGAGCTCACAAACCCTAAACCCTAAACCCTAAACCCTCAACCCCCGACAGCAGCTGCCTTCCTTACAGCGCGTCTTGGGGACTAGGGCTACAGGGTCTACGCTCTAGGGTTTAGGGTTTAGGGTTTAGGGTTTAGGGTTTAGGGTTTTGTGTTCTGCAGCGCAAGGCTTTTTCCCACCCGTCTTCTCCTGCAGCTGTCATCTTGCCCTGCCTCAAGGCGCTGCGTGCCATCGTACCTAAACCCTAAACCCCAAACCCTAAACCCTAAACCCTAACCCCTAAACCCTAACCCCCTGCATTCGAGCAGTCGCTGCTGCTTCCCCTGTCTTTAGTGCTTTCTTCTGTCTTTTTATGGGTTGGGGCTAAGGGCTTAGGGCTCAGGGTTTAGGGTGTAGGGTTTGGAGTTTAGGGTTTAGGGTTTAGGGTTTAGGGTTTTTGCTTTTGCATTATTTGTTCAAATGCTTCTTCACCCACCGCCTTTGAGCGTTTTCTGCTTACTTCTCTCTTCCATGTATTCCCCCTTTTTATTTATTTATTTAAATCCCAATTAATTAATCGATTATAAATATATTTATTTATTTATTTATTTATTTTGTTTTTATTTGAAGGTCTCAAGACTGCTCTGGGCCTCTCTGGCAGAGGGCGGCCTCTTCGGGTGTCTGGACACCGTGAGGGACTTTTATCTTTTGGGCCAAGGCAAGAAATTAAATAAATGGATAAATAAAAAAATAAATAATAATAATTCAATAATAAATAAATAAATAGTAAATAAATAGCTGAATAAATAAATAAATAAATAAATAAATAATAAATAATAAATAATATATACATAGATGAATAAATTTGAGTGAATAAATTTTATAAGTAGAT